GGGAAAGAGAATGACGTTATCTTTAGTATAAAATTTCAGCACAAGAATACAGTTATATTCTGTGTGGATAAGGAGACAGGTAGAATATTATAAGATTATAGAGTCCTTAGGGACTCGGTACAAGAAGGTAAGCTGTATTTCCTATTTTCTTTACTGCTGAAGGGACCAGTGACGCAGCCATTTGCCTTTCATGAGATCCCTAAGAGGATAAGCCTGAACTCAGGAGGCAACTAGTATGAAAAACTCACTAGACAAAAGATAAAAACCATCAGCATCTTGTTAGGATGGGGGAAGTAAAACAAATGATTGAAAAACTACAGGAAAAGATACACAACTCCACCTCCAAGCGCTTCTCAGAGACTCCTCTTTTGAGGCTAGCAGCAATTTGTAAAAGGAGAAGAGCTCTCTGAATCACCGTGTTCCTATTAGCAATCAGGCAATAGCTAACAAGCTTCTTTATTCTTCTCTTCTATTAACTTTGTTATACAGAAACACAAAAGCTGCTGTTGGGCAGACCAAACAGGAGAGTGTGGAGAGAACAGAAGTGGGAGGTTTCTTCTGGGTAAGGCTCAATTTAAAAAGCAGAGCAAAAGCAGCTCAGAGACACTACAGTAGTTTAAACAAACTACCCTCAGTTTAATCTCTCTGTGTAGCTGAAGTTATATTCAAAGTACTGATATGTCAATTTGTTTTTCTTATAAAGATTGCTATGTGAGTGCTATAATAAACTGTATTCTCAAATATCACATGCTAGCTATTTTAATAATCACTAGGTCCAGACATTCAGAGACTTTGGTACATAAATCCATATAGAAATCTCATCTATTTTTTATCCATTTGGGTCAAAGGGATTTATGCCAAACTGGTCTACCATATCCTAAATAGCTTCTTCTTTCACAATGGATCTATCCAAACTAGGTAAAATCTTCCCACTGTTTTTACTGTAACCTGGTTTGGGGGTCAGGACTGCACTCCCCCAAAGGGATCTGCCCTTTCTTACTAGAGCTTTCAATGAACTTCAATTATAAAGATAAAAGAGACCTATCACAGCAAAATTTGAATCTGTGACTAAGGGACTGTTTATATGGGGAGAAATTACCTCGCACTGAATGCAAGAGAGCTCAGAAATGGAGACACCTGTGGTATTCATTAAGAGCACCCCCATAGGGGGGTTAGTGCAGAGTACCAAGTGTGCCATGAATTCACACAAGGCTTGTTAGCGTGCAACAAGCTAAAGAGTATCACTCAATCCTTATTAGCAATTAATAAGCTATTAAAAGGAAAGGTTAGAAAAAATGCCAACTCTAAGGCTTTGTCTGAAGTGTCAAACTGCTTAGATGTAAAGCTAACTTGCTGCAAAAGACTGCATAGACACTCCAGTTAAACTGAGATAAAAGTGTCTACACCCAAGGGGTGTAGGTTGTAGCCGTGTTGGTCTAAGCACATAGGGAGACAAGGTTCTTTGGGTAAAGCCAATATCTTTTATTAAACCGACTCAAATAGTTGGGAAAATTATTTTTTGCGTGCGTTTGGATACAAATACTCTTCATCATCAGGCTGAGGAAGCCTCTGCAGTTAGTCTGTGCTCTTCCTCGATGGTGTGGTTAAGCAGCCAGAGGCCAGTACATATCAAGAAAGTCAGTTAAAATGTAAATTGAGTTGGTCAATAGCTGGGGGGAGGATGGGGGATGAATATAGCTGTGGTCAAAGGATGAGAGACAGGAACTGGGGGGAAAGGAATGAATATAGCTGGTAAAAAAAACCCAAAATACTCAAAGGGAATTTACAAAACAACCTTCACAGACAAGCCTATGATCTTCACTTCATCAACCTGCTGGATACAAATAAATCATGGACTAAATATAGAAATCAGATTTATTACACATTATAACATGCCTAACATCTGACTCTCCAGGTAAATCCTCTACTTTTTACCAGCTATATTCATACTCCACCCTCCTCTACCCCAGCTTTGACTACAGCTACATTCATTCCCCTTCCCACCCTGACCTGTCTGTCATCTATTGACTGACCCAATTTACATTTTAACTGACTGGCTTTCTTGCAAAGGTACTGGCCTCTAGCTGCTTTACTACTGCACCCAAGAAGAGCACAGACCATCTGCAGATGCTTCCTCTGCCTGAGGAAGGGTAATTGTACCTGAAAGCTTGCAAAGAAGAATTCTTCCAACTATTTGAGTTGATCTAATGAAAGATACTGGATTTACCCAAGGAACCTTGTCCACACACAAGAAGTGTACACAGAGAGGTTGCACCAGTCCAGGGGTGGATCCAGAGGGGGTGCAATGGTATGGTTGCTCCCCGTTCAGACTGGACCATGCCATGGGAGCATCTTGGAGCTTTTTATTTTAAATCCCTAAAGCATGTAAGAATCCTCCCCTTCTCCAAGCTCAAAGGCATGGCTATGCCCCCCCCACCCTTACCTCCTCTTACCTCCTCCCTTGTCTGCCACTGCTATTTTCTCCACAATCCCCTGGAAGGGGAGAGCTTCAGAGCCATTCTTGCTGGCTCCAGCCAGGTTGTATGGGGCCTGGGCACAGCTGGGAACAGTCAGTGGCAGCGACAAGGGCAGGGGCAATGGGCTTGGGGGGCCTCCCTCCCAGCACCTGCTCCTGGGGGACCAGCATGGTGGGGGCACCCACTCTCCTACCCAGTCTCACTGTTGCCACTGTGCTCTTCCCAGTTGAAGCAGCAACTGCTCAGCCTGGCTGGAGTGGCTAGGAGCAGCTTTGAAGCTTCCCCTTCCCTGAGAAGCAAGGAAAGCAGTTATGGCAGGCAGTGGAGAGAAGAGAAGGGGAGGGGACAGGACATGCCTTTGAGCATGGAGGGTAAGGGCAGGAGAGATTCCTACCCTTTGGAGACTTTAAATATGTCCAGTGGCTCCCACAACACAGTCTGCCCACATGGATGGGTGGGCAGTGGGGAGGAGGTTGGGAATGGGAGTGCAGCCATCCTTGCAGTATGGGTGGCTGCTTCTGACACCCATGTCAAATCCTGGATATGCCCCTGCATTGGTCTAACTAAACTGATGGAAATTTGTGCAGCCCTAGGCCTCAAACCCTTAAGGGCTCCTTGTGTGTCATCAAACATGATATATCAATAACTAGAACCGTGCTGACTTCTGGGACATCTCTAAGCAGTTAATACAGTCTGCTCCCCAGCAGGCCCAAAACTGAGGTGTCAGGAACAGCTGTAAAACAACATGCCAAACTAACTTCACCACCACTGCTTCCAGGTTTGCAGCATATAAGCAGGAGAGAGTGGGCAGGACATGCCTGGAAGCATTGTGACATTGTGACTTGGTGTCAAGGGGAACTTAACCCAAGCTCAAGTCTCAGCCCTCCCATCCTTCCTCTCAAAGAGCTGGCTTCACATGTTTTTTTTAGCACTTTTATGTAACAACACTAGAATTTGAAAAAAATGACCAGTCAAACAATATCAGAAAGGACTTCAGTGCAAGAGCCGACTTCTGTAAACAGCATGGATGTGTGAAGAATCCTATTTTAAAGTCATTAAGTTCTGCTCACCTGGCACTACAACTTCAAAAAACAAAGGTTCTTATTTTATTCTGCCTCTCTCTCACTGGTATCTGCTTCTTGGATTGTTGTAAGAAAAAGGATTTTTAGGAGGTATTCAGTGCTCATTTCACTCATTACGTGCTCTGAAAATAGGGAGGAAAAGAAATTTCATTCAGCTTGATCTCCTCTACAAAAAATACAAACCACAAATACTAAAAAATATTCAGTTGCAGACAGGAATTACATACTATAGCAATCCTCTCTTTGAGTTTTTAAGGAACTTAAGCCCTTCAACCCTTGTGATGTTTTCCCTCCTGTTTCTGCTTTGCTTTAAAATTCAGTGCTCAGGCACAATTATCTTTCTGAGCTTGGGTGCTCTTCCAAGAGACCCTATCTGCAAGAGTGGTTAAAGTAAAATAGAATTGGGATTTTCATTAATGCCTTTTCATACTTAATCCATCTTAAAGCACTTTATGAAGCGACCCTATCTACTGGAAATACTGTGGCCCTGTGTAGGCAAACAAAGCACTCATTCTCTTCTCAGGAAGAAACTACATTTATGTCAGACTTGTGAATGGTTCTTGAATGTTAGTGAGGAGAACACCATGGTTATCAACAGGAAAAGCATCAAGGGAGCTCCCATGCTTTAGGGTTGTTGGCAGTAGCCATGTTGGTCTAAGGACATGGGCAGACAAGGTTCTTTGGGTAGATGCGATATCTCTTATTGGACCAACTAAACTGTTGGAAAAATTGTTCTTTCCAAGTGTTCAGGCACAAACACCCTTCTTCAGGCCTAGGGAGAGTCTGCTGGTGTTTAGTGTGATCTTCTGAGTAGAATAGAGCCAATATGCAAAATGCAGGTCTGTGAAAATGAAAATGGGTGGCAGTGAGGATCAGAGGGAATGGGAGACAAGAGGTGTGAGACAGGTAGGTTGTGGGGGAAACAGGGGAATGTTGAACTGGGGAGAACGTATCTGGACAGGTTACCTGGGGTATCAAAACTTCTACCTGGACATAATCAAAGTTACAGAAAATGACCTTCAATTTAAGAAGAGTTGTGCATAACTTCTCTGTGGCATATATAAATGTGAAGTGTCCGTAGGTAGTAAAAGAACATGGTGATTAGGTGAGAAGACTGTCAGTGTTCTACAGAAAAACTATTGAAATCATCCCTTTAAATTTTTTTATTAAGAATATGTATGGCGAAGCAGAATATTTTGCAAAGCTTTGAGGTTTTCATCAAGAACAAAACAAATTCATTTTGTATTTTTATGAAAACCTAAAAAATTGGAAAAAAAAAATCAACCAAATCAAATATTATTTTAATGCTTTAATTGAAGCATTTGGTGAGGGGTGGGGGAAATCCAGCTGCTTTCTGAACTGATCTAGCATAGGAAAACTGGTTTGTATTCACTCCAGGATAATAGTCAGGAATACTCACCATCAGATAGCTGTTTGGGATGTCTCAATGCAGTTCCTAGTGGACATGTTCCCATGCTTACAAAACATACTATCCTAATGGGCTCTGACTGGAAGCCTGCCTGACAAACTCTGTCCAGTGGCCAAGGAGTGGATGAGGCAGTGGGACTAAATTTGCCCATTACTCATAGAGGTAAAGAGCATTTATTACAGGGGAAGCTGTGTGCAGCTGCGCATGCAATACCCATTCTGAGATAAATAGTTGAATTCAGTCTATAGGGCTGCCCAGACATAAGCCAAATGCAAAAATTATATTCATATAAT